GCGGGGGCGGGGGCGGGGTGGGTATTAACATCCCCACCCCCGCCCCCGATTTTATCAATGGGAGAAAACCCGAACCCGAACCCGAACCCGAACCCGATAAACACAGGTTTTTCTCATCCAAATCAGGGCGGGTTCGGGCGGGTACCCATGGGGCCGGGTTAGATTGCCATGCCTACTAGGACATGATCATCTCCCATGAACACAGATCCTCCTGAAGATAGGTTCATAAGTGCAAAACCAATCTTGGTGTGGAGTCGTGCGAGGTTGCACCTGAATCTAATATCCAACAATTATGAAGTTGTCTTCCATTGTTAGAACTCATTATTACTTCACTATACAAGATTTCTACATCTTCTGAGGTACTTGCTATACAACCTTAAGATGTTGGTGCTTCAATGTTCTTCCCTTCACTCTTCTTGTGCTAACAATCTTTCTCCCTCTCATCATTGTTAATGCTTCTACTTATTTATAAATTTCCAGCCTATCTTCCTTATTCTTTTGCCTATATTCTTTTTTAAGAATAGCTTCGACAATATCATCAAAGGATAGATAGTCAATGACATTGTTATTTGTTATGTTCATGATGAGTTGATCATACAGTAAACTCTAAAGTAGAAGCTTCACGTTCATTTTTTGCTATGTTGAAATTTGGTGTTATAAGTTGAGCGAATAATGTATTCAAATTGTTGATGTGGTATGTTATCGTCGCAGACTCACTCATTCAAAGAGTGTAGAGTTTCCTCTTTAAGAATATTCTGGTATGAAGTGACTTGATCTCGTACAATATTGAGAGTATCCCAAATCTCCTTCACAGTCTTCTTCTTTACAACACTAGATAAAATTGAATCCACCATTGCTAAATACAAATTGGCAATAATATTGTCATCTATTTCTCTCCACCTTTCATTTGTGATATTCGTGGGTTTGCCTTCAATTGTACCAAGTCAATTGTCTTTTCTCATAATTGCTCTTATCTTTAATTTTCACATGGAGAAATTATTCTTTAAATTTCTGTATCTCATATTTTGCTACCATGATTTCTCTCTTATTTTTTCTCTCTCAATTAAATCGTCTTATGCAACTTCTACCATGAATAGTATCACCTACTAGAACGATGACGATAGACCATGAACTAGTATGTACCAAGTAAGTTCTTAGGAAAGAAAGGTGGTTCACTAGTAGACACACTTAAATATAAGTCTTTGCTTTCCAGAACTTTTTCTAGATTTGCATTTTCACACTACCATACTATATATCCAATAATAAGAATAACTTTTTTGATGTAGTAGATCAAACAATACAAATTTTCTTCGGTACTATACTAGTGTGCATCGCAACAAAATAATATTGATAACCTATTGACTTTGATACCACTATTGAGTAAGCATACTAAGATTTTTCTCCAACACCATACTAGTATGCATCGCAACAAAATTATACCGACAATCTATTAGCTCTAATATCAGTGTTGGGTATCAAAGTAACTAAATAATAACACATCTAAAATAAGAGATGGGAAAATAAGAGTAAAAAAAAATAATAGACATAATAAAAAATTTTACTAAAGGAGGAAATTACATTATTCCCCACTTTAAAATTCACCCCTAAAAAAATGATAATACTACTATCGGAAAAAAAAAAACTCTCAAAGTAGATTAACGAGAAGGAAAAAAAATTTGGGATGCTTGTAATGAGACCACTAAACCCTATTTTATTGGCTAAATGTAGAGTTACAAAATAAATCCACCTATGTGAGACTTACCAACTAACAGGCTGAGCAAACATTCAGAGAGCACCCTAAAAGTCTTAGTATTCCAAGAGAGCACCCTAAATCGTGTGATTTGATTCGATTTACGATTTAGAAATGCGAAATGGACCAAAATCATGACACCACACTTATATGCAAAAAAAAAAATAAAAAAAAAAAATAAATATAAATATTTGAAACCTAAATAAAAGATTCTTATCACAACTAATTTATTCTCCTAAAGACATTTAGACATATTTCTAACACCATTTGATCAATGAAGAGAAATAAAGATTTATAAATCACACGTGATTTTCATTAGTATGAGACATTTTGGGTGTGACGTAGCTTCTAAATTATATTTTAAAATGAAAAATTATGAATCATTTATAATATTCAAAAATAATTTTATTTCAAGTACAAAAAACTATATATATATATATATATAATATTTAATATGATAAATTGTATTTACTAAAATATAAAACAAAAATCATTACTAAATATATTGAGTGATTATTTTTTTTATAGTATTTATATATTTTTTTAAACAAATAACATAATATTATATATTTTAAACTAATTTTTAAATAATATAATTTTAAAATTACAAAAATAAAATTAAACCAAATAAAAATTAATTTAATTGAAATCAAACTAAATCAAACTAAACTCACCACAAATTCTCCTAATTCATTGACCGATTGATCCATGAGGCCACCAAAGTATTGCACTTGTCCCATTCTGCGAATTTCATATTTCCAACTTCAGGCTTCAGAAGGGTCTCATCCCATCGTCGAAGCAAAGCTTATTCTTGCGTTTTCGTGCCATTGTCATGGTTTCAACCATCATTGATGATCCATACATACAGTGGTTTAGCTACCATGCAGACAGGGTTCTCATTTGCATATGCATGAAAATAAGGACCGGTAGGATCAAGAATGGAATAAGGGTTCGCCATTTTTGCTTGAATCAATCAACTTCAAGAATCAACAAAGAATGACATCAAGAATCAATGATGAACGACTTCAAGAAAACAATTATCCAACAAGTTCAAAGATCAATGACCCATCATCAGAAAATGTTCTGCAAAAGCTCCCTAGGAAAGGGGCTTGGGTACCATATTAAAAAGGAAAATAAATGAACAAAAAGATTTTTATTAGTAAAGATTTCGAACTGTTATTACAATAAAAACATATAACCTGTATAAAAGAACCTTTGATAAACCAATTGAATTAACCGTCTAATTGATCGTAAAACATTGTTACAAGTGAGCTTGTATAAAAGAACCTTTGATAACCCAATGCATTATTGACACAAAATCAAATTCTACGTTAACTCCATGCTTGCCTTTAGGTTAGGATAAGAATCACAATAATCAGTACCACAATGAATCCATAATCAACATTGGCTTTCACTCTCACCACGGCACTCTCTTTAGAAAACCCAAATCTTCGAGGAGCAACGTATTTAGCAATCTGCAATTTCCCATAAGATATCATTCTCAAGAGCCAAAATAGAAAGGGCAAACGTTATAGTCCAAACTTGTGTGTATTATTTTGACACAATTTTTCTAGGGATATAAATAAGGTATATATATATACACACACGAGGGAGGTTATAATTACACCGATGTAAATTTTACTAAGTATTACACCATTCAATAACTTTATATTAATCATGAATTTTGTAAATTTAACCGTTAGATTGAAAGTTCATATCTTTTTATACGTGTATATCAATTTTTGTTAAAATTGAACAATAACTTGAAGGTAATCAAAATATTCATATTTTTGTGTATTTTGAAATGAATATATTACGTCAATTTTGTTTTATAAAAATGAAGTATCAAATCATCTTGGATTAATATAAAATTTTGTATATATGATCTAAGACATATGAACTTTCAATTTAACGGTTGGATTTACAAAATTCACGATTAATATAAAGTTATTGAATGGTGTAATACTTAGTAAAAATTACACCGAGAAATTATTTTAGATATTACATTTAAAGTAGTTTTCATTAAAGTCAAATCTTACCCATATATAATAACCTATGATTAGATAATTCTATACAACTTTTTTACTTAATTTGTCCGTGTATTTAAATTAAAATTTTAAATTATATTTCACATAAAAATATTTAATGGACAAAACCATCTATATATATATATATTATAAAAAGTGTAGGCGGATTCATACTGTAATGTTTTAAAAATAAATTAGATATCACTGTTCAATTTAAAAATTAAATAATGAAAAAATTGATCTAAGTTTTCTCATATCAATAATAATAATAATAATAATATTATTATTATTATTATTATTATTATTTTACATGAAATTTAGCATTGAATTAATTTGTTTTAGTATGATATTTTTCTAACAAAAGTTAAACTTTTGATATACATTGTGAGAGTTCATATCAATAAATAATTTACACTTACGAAATATGAGTTTCAAAAATCAATGATTAGTTTAACATCGACTAAAATCAATCTTAAAAACACCATATTAATCCTCTATTAATAAACAATCTCGTTAGTGTATAGAACATTAGTATTTACAATTAACATATCAAACTAATAAAAGTATAATATATACAATATATTATTATGGAGATCTTTAAAGTTTATGCTAACAAATTCATTTTCACTAAAATAATAGTTGTTAATTGTTATTTGTTAATAAATGATAATTTCTTCTGCAGTGTAAGATATGAATAAAAGAACTCACCTGGGCTATAATGTCGTGGGACTGATCGTCATGAACACTATATGATCCACCAGACCAACTTCCTTGTACCATAAAGTCACAAACATTCTCTTCAGTATTTGTAGCCAGGAACACGTCCAATTTGGCCTTTAGCTGGATTATGTGGTGTTGCTTTACATTGAAGAGCAAATCCTTTGTTTGGTGACTGTTACCCCTAAAAACTTCCCAACGATTATGTGCTGTCATTCTCTACACAAACAAAAGCACACAAATGGATAAATCTTATTCTATGTAACATCAATGGCCCACTTAAAAACATGTGATCATCGAAGCCAAACCTTGCTTTGCAGTGTGACGATAGGGTTCTTGTCCTCATCAAATAAGATATATCGTCCATGGATCGAGAATGAAGGCTTTTCAAGGTTGAAAATGATGTTGTTGTGCATGTTTTTGACACAAAATTTATCGGGAAAGCCCAATTTCTTCACCGTTCTAACAATCTCCAGTATGATTGGAAATGGACTACAATACTTGGACCCAACGATAGTGGTCGTTGGACTTATTGTTGAAGCTGGTCAAGGCCCAATAAAGAAATGAAGAATAAACATAAATATAAAGGAATGTAGGAAATGTGACATATTTTATAATTAAATAACTCGAGAATATATTTTTGGCATAACTCGAGAATATAAGATCACGTAAATACAAACATTCAAACACAATTTAATGTATAAAATTTAACTTGTAATTTGTGTACCTTGTCTGAAGCTTGAATCCATGCCTTGAGTCTTGATCCAAATCCATAAATAAGAGAATAAAAGAAAATTATTATTTGGTTGATAGTTATTGTTTTCTCTCGAGGTCTCATAATTTTAGGGAAAAGATCAACAAGTATATGAAAGTTGCCCATCCAATACATGTAGTTAATTGTACATATAAATATGGTTAATTTTATTTAATTTTGTTCATGATTAAAAATGAATAAATTCAAATTTTATGGAGAGGAATTCACTTACTTTAAGAGTAAGTCCACTTTCACTTTATAAATCATGTTATATATTAAATTTTAATGATCTAACCGTTTAATTAAAAGTTCTTAATGCATAGATCAAATCTGTAAATTTTTAAATCATTAATTCAGATTGACAGATAATCATAAAAATTTTATATATTGATTTAAATCGATGAAATGGAATATCAAGTAATTTTAAAAGTTTTTTAAAATTTGTAGACTTGATATATACATTAAAAATATTTAATTTAACGGTTGGTATATAACATGAATTATTGAAAGGAAAAAATCTAGGTAAATTTACTCTTATTAAAGCAAGTGAATCCCTCTCTCTCTCTCACTCTCTCTCTCTCTGTATATATATATATGAAAAAGATCAAATTACTCTAAGAGTATTTCTTGATAAAGTTATTCCACTTAATAAGTCATGGTGTATGTCGAATTTTAATGGTCCAATAGTTAAATTAAAGGTTTTTAATGTATAAATCAACTTTAATTTTTTTTTAAAATATTTAAAATTATTTAATACTTCATTTTATGAATTCAAATTGATATGGATAATCATAAAAATATTTTGTATGTTGATTTTAATCTATATAACAAAATATCAATTAATTTTCAAAATTTAAAAACATTTGTAGAGTTAATTTATGCATTAAAAACTTATAATTTAATAATTAAATTATTGAAATTCAACATATATTATGAATTATTGAGTGAAGTAACTTTACCAAGAGTTACTCTTGGCATAATTTGATCTCTTATCTCTCGAGAAAAAGAGAAAGAAAGAAAGAGAGAATGTTAGTAGGAGGAATATGATATACACGTAAGAGTAAAAGAGTGGCTAAGACATTGTGTACATCACAGATCTCGAAAGAACTATGTTACTTGAAGATGCAGTTATGAGACGGTTACATACGGTTCTAGGGAGTTACCCATACGAGAAGGATATAGGCCCTGAAGAGAATGTGCATAATAACTACCTCTCGAATGGAAGTTTTCAAGACTATCCGATAGTCAGAAAACGGTTTCCAAAAAAATGGGTGAGAGCGGTTAAAGGAGGTTGCACATCTTACGTCGTGGGGCAGTTATGCTTGACACGACGAATCCCCACTATTATTCCCATCCTTCTACAAATAGGTAAGTCAATATCACTAAAAGGGGTCAAAAAATCATACTTACAAAATCTCACGACATTCACTGTCTGCGCATATGGCTCCCGTGTATGAGAATGTTGAGTAAGGCTTCTTGACCACACTTTTTCTCTTCTTAGGATAGTTCTATCTTAGTTTAGTGTAACGTAGTTTTGTAGTTCCTTTACTTCTCAGAACCATTATGTGTAGTAATCCAGTAATTAGGTGAAGCAAATAAATAATGATTTCCGTTATTAATGTGTATGTTGTTCGTTCGATTCACTTGAATGTTCATGTGCATGAAACTTATTTTATGATAACCATCGATGAACACTTGGAAATCTTTGCATGTTAATTCATATCAAAGTGGATCTCGACTAGTTTATATTCATTTGCATTTGCATTTGGTGAACTTCATGGGTAATCTTAATTGAGAAATACGTAAGATACATTACTTGTCACACATACCTAAATTGAAGCTTAATTTGCTAGTTTGAGTAAAAAGGACGTACGAACGAAAATCTCCACAAATAGAGAGTTACCCTTGGTTTAGGGTATGAAGTTACTTCACTCAATAACTTATGCTTTACATTAAATTTCAACGATCTAATCGAATTAAAAATTCTTAATAACTATTCAAGTATACAAATTTTACAAAAGTTAAAAAATTATATAAAACTACGTTATAAGATTAAAATTAATGTACAATATGTTTTTTTTAAGAATATACTCGAATTTGATTTAATGTAACAAAATATTAAATAATTTTTAAATTTTGATAAAATTTATAAACTTGACTTATTCCTTTAATTTTTTTTATTCAACTGTTAAATTATTGAAATTAAACCTAAAACTTGAGTTATTCACTAGAGTAACTCAACCAATACTCACTTTTAGAATTATGTGTGCCAAACTAACACATTTCTTCAATCATTTACGGGTGGTGTATAAATATTTGAGATGCAGTAGAATGTAAAAGGACTTACTTGCTCAGCAGAATCATTCACTAATGACTGGGCTTTTGTTGAGCTATTGACATGAGATTCATGAAGAGAAGACGCAGCAGCTCCTGAAACCCTACGCAAGGTCTCCTTAAGATCTCTCGCCATCTGAGCTTGCAGGTCAATGACGAAAAACCTCATGAGCCAGTTCGAAAGCTCTTCTATCTGATTCTGGTAACGAACCCTTCCCACATAATCTAGCCTTCCAACCGTTGAACACTTGCATACAAGCTTCGTGCCCTCTTCCATTTTCCTTAGCAGCGATTCCAGTTCCTCCTTTGGACGCCCCAACTCGTTGTTGTGTTGTTCTATCTCTCTGATCAGTGGAGCTATTGCCTCTAGAGTGGATTGGAGGTTGCCCATGCTTTGCTTGAACGTGATGGCTTTGCTTGTTATGTCCAAAACAGTTCTCAGCAATTCCTGAAACACAGCGCCCACAACTGCATCTGCTATCATATCCATCATTCACACACCAAAATGGAAACAAGATGAACCAACCTCTCTCTCTATATTTCTTTTGGTAATGGAAAGAAGATTAAGCAACCTCTCTCTCTCTCTCTATGTAGTATATAGCTAGTTAGGTCGAACATCATGTTAAAAGTGATTTTTCTTTTCTAGCTGACTTGTCAAACGTATTTTTTTCTTAATTTTTTTTAAATATTGAATTTTACTTATATGGTCGTTGGAATATTTGTATTATATATATGCCAACTTGTATAAATGGAAAAAATCATGTGACTTTTATTTTAAATATGTATTGATTGAAAAGTTAAAACAAACTATAATATAATATAAATTTGGCGGAAATCACGGTCGTGTAATGCCAAGACTATTTGAAAAAATTAGCATTTTTTATTCATTAAATATTCGACACATTGAAGATTAGAATTTAATGTCAGATTTGAGTATAAAGTTGTGATGGAAAGTATTACTTTATTTTTACAAAAATAAGTGAAAATGAGTTACATTTTACTTTGAAGTTAAAAAAAATATTAAAAGCCAAGTTTTGATGGCAATTTTTAATCGTCGAATTCTCGTTATTAATCTCAGTTAATTTTCGGTCAATAATCATTGAATAATTATAAATTTCCCCTTCAAATTAATGAATTCATTCTTTCTTTTATTTGAATTAAGTTCAATGTATCGAGAGCAAGTTCCTTGATAGTGAGTAGCATGGGAGAGCTGACCTACGTACAAATTGTCTATTTATATTATTCTAACATTTATTTATGATATATAATTTAGTATTATAAAAATTGACATGTCTCATAATCTTTAGATAATCAATTGATAGTAAAGTCTAACACAAGTTAAAACTTTAAATTAGTTTACGTTGTAATATCATTTTATGAAGGTAATACTAAAATATGATATCATTTTACAACAGTGTAAGATTTATTTTAGTACTGTTTCTATTCTTTAACTTTGACGATTTATAATGATAAAATATCTCTTTAATTTGTATATAGCTACTTTGTCTTTAATTTTATTTCCGAAATTGCAACGAACGGAGGAAGGGTGTGGCGGCGTAGAAGAAAATCGTGGGGTGGGTTGTTAGAATTGAAGCCGGCGATTTAAAATAAATAAGGTGTTTTTCTCCCCTACGCAGAAGATATTACTGTTAATGAATATTTCTTCTTTATTTTTCCGTTGTTTAATTATGGTCCTTTTAATATTAGATTTAATTTTTTTTATAAAAAAATTTATATTATAATAAAATACGATCTCATATAAGATCAAGGTCAACTACTATTCTTTGTGATAATTTTTAGTAAAATTATGGATTTGAATTTTAAATTGAAAGCAGAAGTGGTGATTGTTGAAAACAAAACATAAAAATAGAGTTGCAGGACTAAATAAAATATAGGATGGTTAGATTATAAAATCTATAAATTCAACACACAAAAAAAGGGGGTAAAAGTTTATATGATATATTTAAATTATGAAATTACTTTTGTACACATTATAAGTGTTTATAACAAGTATTTAAATATTAAAATTGACTAACTACAAAACAAACAATAAAATATTACTAAACTAATAAACAAACATTACTTACTCACCAACTTACTTTTTTTATACATAAGTAATTTTTAACCAAATTTACAAGTAAAACAAAAAATTATAAAATTTTTAAAATATTTACTTATGACAGTGGAAGAATCTCAATTGCCAACATTCCTTCTTGGGATTTTTCTTCATCATTTCAAACTTTGATCTTTATCATCATTCACACTTGTTAAATCTCCTTCAAGTAGATGAACATCAATAGATTTAACATCTTCGAGCTTAACATTAATTTTCTCACTTGAAATAAGAGTGTCCTTGCAATTTCCTTAATCCATTTTTCATTTTGAAAAACTTTTTCCATGAGAGTTGAAATAACACTATCAACATTGTTTTTCTTTACAAAATTTATTGTTGAACTTATAAAAAGAAGTACAATAATTCCAATTAAATTTTGCCATCAAAAAATTTATCTTCTCCATTGGTCAAAGGCATAACCATGATTGTTACAGCTTCCATGACCCATAAAAATATTCTCTATAAATCCCAAAATTTTTAAAGCCTTATTATTATTATTTTTAATTCTTTTCAAGTTTGTTGTGTCCAAAAGTCACCTTCTCTAGAGTACCTTCTATCACTAGTGGGAAAAAGACTTTTAAAATCAGTTATTTTTCACTTTTAAAATCGGTTCCGTAACCGATTTTAAAAGAGCCAATTTTAAAAGTTAGACTTTAAAAATCGGGTAAATAACCGATTTTAAAAGTTAACTTTTAAGATCAGTTGTCTTATAACCGATTTTAAAAGTTCTCGAGAAAAAAAATTAAACTGGAATGGGCCGTTCCAAAACTGGAACGAGCCGCTCCAGATTGTTAAAAAAGAATTTTTGAAGAACAGAGTCAGAACGACCCGTTCTCCTTTCAGTACGAGCCATGCTGCTTGGAGAACGGGCCATTCTCCTTTCAGAACGGGCCGTTCCAGCTTCGAAATTTAGCAAAAATGAACCTGCAACGAAAATAGAAACAAGAGAAGCGCATGAGAAAACGAAAAGAGACATAAGAAGAGGAAAATAAAAACGACAACGAAATTTACCTCTTTAGAAAATGAGAGCGTTTGAGAGAGTAAAAAAAACGAATGGAGGGAAAGATTAAAAAGAATGAGATTGGAGGGAAATATAAAAGGTTTCTGACGATACTTTTAAAATCGGTTATTTAAGAATCGATTTTGTATACTACATACAAAATCGGTTCTGAAATAACCGATTTTAAAAGTGCTACTTTTAAAATCGGTTCTGAAATAACCGATTTTAAAAGTAGTACTTTTAAAATCGGTTATAAAATAACCGATCTTAAAAGTACTTTTAAGATCGGTTATTTTATAATCGATCTTAAAAGTTATGGCTGATACAACTTTTAAGATTGGTTCTTTTGTAACCGATCTTAAAAGTTGTGTCAGACATACCTTTTAAGATCGGTTAAATTTGAACCGATCTTAAAAGTGTTCATTTTATTTACAAAATTGCCACCGCGTCACTTTTAAGATCGGTTATCTTATAACCGATCTTAAAAATCCGATTTTAAATCCAATTTTTGCACTAGTGTATTGTAAACCCATTTGAATCACATTTTAGAGTTTGAAATGTCTCCTTAAGTGATCCATTTTTTAAATCTTCATCTTTATTTAAAAAATTAAACATGACTTTGTTCTTCCACTTTATTGTAAAACTTTTATATCTCATTTTAACAGAGATAAGCTCACACGTACTTGTAAGGGTAAAAAATGATGCATCCCAAATTTTTGAAACACAAAGAATAATTATTTTCATGCATTTCTCCCACACTCAAAAGATTTTGATTTATTTCAATTACAAATAAAACATCTGAAAAATATTTGATACTTGAAGGAGTTTCAACAACAACTCTTTTACCTTTGACATTAACACTTTCTTCATTGCCTATGGTGACTTTGGAGATTTGAAACTAATTTAATTCTTTGAAAATTGCAACATCATGAGTCATATGATTTGTTCATCCTTTGTTTAGGAGTTATGCCTCTTTAATATTTCTCGTTGAATAACAAGTAGCAACAAATAAATGTTCCCCATGTTCTTCATGCTCTGCGATTTGGGTTTGATGTTCCTATAGGTTTGCTTTATTTTTACAAACCTTCTCCACATAATCCAATTGATTTCACACCCTACAATTAATGCTTGACTTAAACCAACAAAAGTATTCAGTATGGTTGTTCTTTTTATAGTGGTAGCATGGTGGATACTTGTTTTTCCAACCTTTTTCTTTGTTGCCTTTTTCCTGTTTTTTGCCTCTTACATATGTCACAAAAGCACCTTCAATATTTCCTTCCATCCTCAAAGATCTTCTTTGTTCTATGGCTTGCAAAGCATTCACAAGTTCTACAATTGATATTTGAGTAAAATCTTTATTTTCTTCAAGAGAGGAGATTTTGGATTCAAACTTCTCCAGAAGACACATCAAGATTTTCTTCACAACTCTTTGATCACTAAGCTTTTCACCTAGGAATCTGATTTGGGTAACGACTTTCAAAAGTATGCCAGTAAAATCTTTGACATATTCACTTTCTTTAATTTTTATAGTTTCAAACTCTCTCCTTAGGTTCAACACTTGCATTCTTTTCATTTTTTTGGCTCCCTTGAAACTCCTCCTATAGCTTATCCCATGTCTCTTTTGCCATTTCAAGAGTTAGAATCTTGATAAATACATTATCATGTAGTGTTGCCTATGTGATATCCTCTGCCTCGTATACACAATAACTATAGATAAGAAGCACTTAACCAAAATAAATGAGACTATCATAAATAATCAACTAAGTTGTTTCAAACTTTGGAAGAGGATACCACATAAAAACTAAATCAAATAATAATTTCTAATAAAACATACTCAAATAAATCTAACATTACGTCCTAAAATGAGAAAATAACATGGTAACAAATACTAAACTACATCCCAATGTCACATCCTATCAGAGCACTCTTACAAAAGATTTAAACCTTACCACCAATATCATCAATATATATCATGATGTGTTGGAACCATGAAAATAGAAATTAAAATATATATTATTTATCATTGAAACTACACCAAGATCAACATTAACAAATGATAAAATTAAATAACAATGATTGAAATAAAATAAAAAGAAGGTTTAGAGAATTTTGGATTGAAGTATGCTAGACACTATCCTTTGAGAAAAAATGCCCCCACTACACTGGTAGATTATTTTGTAATGTGCTTCTCTTCCAAAATACGACAACTCGTTAGATCAATTGTGTGTAGTTAGTGAAAGATCTTTGAACCAAAAAATACTGCTAAAAATATATTAAGTAATAATATAAATAATTTTTAAAGAGGGAAAGATGAGTGAATTGTTGTGTGTATCTTTTTATTTTCCTCCAACACCGATATTTATAAATTAGAGTATGTCATATATATATATATATATATATATATAATATATATATATATACAATTA